GCAAGTGAGTGTCTGGGATCTTTTGGGATATGGGCTGTTCGTTGATCAAAACGAGCAATCTGATGTCACCTTGGGCTCTGGGAAAATTGGCCGATTGTGAAACCCCTCCCCTTAACAGCAATTATCCGATCATAGCTTAGCAACCTTAACTAAGCACAGCAGGTCTGTCAAGCTTTAGATTTCTCCACACGTTGAAGCGGTGTGCATGCAGCCTTGGTAAGAAAGATACGGTGGCCGCAAAACATGTGAAAAATCGATCTAGAGCCAATGTTTGGTTTGATTTGGGCTACTGCAGAAACATGGTGGCCTCCATGAAAGGCGACCCACAGTGTCTGTAAAAAAAAAACAAATAAAAAACGGCTCAATCTAAGGTAACAAAAACCATTCTGCATATTTAAGACTCTCTTACAGAGTTCTCATTTTAAAATGAGTCATTGTTTTCAACCAATCTATGGATCTAACATTAGCTTAATTAGCTAGTTTGCTACAGCTGAATGGACTGAGAAAACAGTTTTTTATAGACTAAAGAATAATGGAAAGATTAATATACAATACACAATATTACCAGACACAATAGTTGCAGCCCCACACTCATACTATTATGTGCACAACATATAGCAGGAGACTGAAAGAAAGCCAAGGACACACACCTGGTACACAGATTCAAACAATCCTCTGTTCACACTGACAGACAAACAAATGGAGGGCAATGTAAGGACTCTGCTGGGACAGGGCAGGGGCAGTTTGGTGACTTTGAGCGTGCAGGCTTAAAGAATGTGAGCTTCCTGTGCAGGAACAACAGAGTCAGGCCAGGCCACGACCCCGGCCATGTTCTGTTTTTATAACCCTCAGCCCTTACAAAACCACCCCTCTCTCTGCTATCCCCAAATACTGTGCCATTTCTTCCCATCTATAGTTCCCACTGGGCTATATTTCATGCTCATGTTCCCATCTGGTAAATAACAATAGGTGTGTATGGGTGTGTGCATACAGTCAGCAGGCTTGTATTCCACACTTATTCTGTGATTCAAAGGCATATTATCCACACCTAAGATAGCTGACCACCAGAACTAATCCATCAGCCTTGTTGGCTGTCAACATGTTACCCTTCATAGGTATAAGGATGCCTGATCCACCACCCAACCCCATTCCCTGTCCCCCCCTTCACCCCTCCCAGGTGTTCCCATAACTCACCGGGCCTCAAATCCCACTCAGGCATTCCTGAACTTCAGAGGCACATCGGCAGATGAGAGCATGGATTTATGGCTTGCTGATGGACAGTGAAGGGGGGAGCGGAGCAAGGTGGGAAGGTGATACGGTCCACTTCAAAGAGGAGTGCAGAGTTTGTTGTTCTCTCCTACACTCACTGGTGCACACACATGCACAGCTCTCTTTCCCCGCCTGTGCCTCTGGCAGCTGGAGTACTCAGTGGTTTACACACAGTCTAATGCACAGTTATTTTAGTTTTGATTCCATTTTTTTGTAACCTAAATGACCAGATATAGGTGGCGGGTTTGCATCTTTGAAGTTTGCCTCTCTTACTGTCACGCATCAGCAGACACACAGAACTATTAAAGACATGATTTAGCTTTTCATTTTTCATAATATTAAAGGTGACCCTTCAAAGATTGCCTCCAAGCCTTGTTTATTGCACCTGCATAAAATATTCCCCTTATTCTTAAATGCCACCTCCTTCTGAGCTATTAGAATTTGTTTGTGTGACTTTGCATATAACATCATAGGTCACAGACAAATGTGCGAGTGTGTGGACGTTTGCATCTGTCTATATTTGTATATGTGTGAGGGTGTTTGTATTTTTCGTGTGTGAGCGCGCCCTCCGTTCGCAACCAGCTAGTGTTACATTGCCGGGTCCCGTGGTGTGTGAGGTTGATGGATGTGTGGAGTGGTGTCGTTTCTCTGAGCCGGATGTGTAATGAACCCTGCATTGCTTCTGTAACATTTGGGCTGATTGATTACAAACAAAGGCCATTTAACATGCACGGCTGCTGCCTCTTAACAATGCAACATAGCTTCATAGATGAGATTACACATATAGCATGAGAAAAGACACCCTGCTTCTGCATGCTGCTTGGTAAATTAAAGCTGTGCTGTTATCAAACCTTCCCTCCGCCCTCTTGAGAGAAACCACCCAAGACGAGAATAAAGTTGTGTGATAATTCATTCACAATCTTCTCATCATACTTTAGTGCTAGAAATGTAAAGAAAAGAGCATATGGAACTATTTGTATTTGTTGCTGCAGCTTTAAAATGTCCAAATTGTCTCTCTTTTTATTTCCTTTCTCATCCCCTCCACCCTTCCTTTTCTGTTTTAACACTCACTAAGATTTTCCTCTTTGGGTTGCCCAACTCTACTCATTGTTTAGGTGGAAAGCTGATGTAACGTGTGGGTGTTATTCCCAGTAACCAGGGCGATCCAAAAGGCTCCAGTCCTCCCGCTGCTCAATCAGACCACTGTTTGTTCACTCTCCTTTTTCTCATGGTCTGTTCTGCCAACTAAAACCAGCCAGGCACTGATGAAAAGCAAAACCTGCATCTTTATCTTCTCTCATGCGCGTTTCAGAGGAACTTTGAAATTGAACTTTCAACGCTCCTACAGACGTACGATATCCATTCGTGGATATAGATAGAAAAAAAATCCTGTTCTCATTTTGTGTCTGTGTATGCCCTCACATTGCAGAGAGCCTTTCTAACCTGCCTCATTTCAGTCATTGCAGGAGAGCTGCAAAAGCCTGATGCTAGATGTGTGTGTGTGTGTGTATGTGTGGGTGTGCCTGTGTGTGTGTGTGTGTGTGTGTGTGCGTGCGTTGTGAGTTTTGTGCTGGCCCTGAAGTGACACAGTGAGGGTATAAATAGAGCAGGCCCACAGATCACTGTGCCAGACAGAATGTGGCATCTGCTGTGCTGGGAGTGCAAAGTGTTTGAGAGCCTCTAAACTCCTCTCCATTCCTCTTCCCTCCCCTCTCAGTCTCTCATCTTTCTTCCTCCTCTGTAGTCTTGTCTGTTGATTCCCTTCCTCTCTCTCTCTCTCTCTCTCCCTCTCTCCACCTTCGTCATCTTTCTCTTTTCTCCTCCTATGATTCCCTTTCCTCTCTCTGACTCCTTCCTTTAGTCTATCCCTCCCTCCGTCTCATTTTTTCTGCCCTCCCCCCCCCCTCTCACATACTGCCACACATCTGCTGCCATGTGTTGAGTGTTGTGGAGCAGTCTAATTTTCAATTTAGGCTGTAAGATCCTATTTCTAAACACACAAAGGGTACCGGAGAGGGGTGAAGGAGAGAGAGCGAGGAAAAGGATAGCTGGCCTTGCAGTGGTTAACATCAAAGCCCTGATTTTATATTTACCACGGTTTACAAATTCCTCTACTGCAATGCTACACATGTTTCATGTAAAAACAATTTAATCCCATGGGATTACGTGGTGTACTTGCGAGGCAATCTTGAGTAGGACGGGCGACTCTGTAAGCACAGGAGATAAAAGCAAAGTCATCGTGATTCTCTGTAGGTTATTTCCCACCCAGAGCCGATTATCAATCCTACTGATTTAGCGATTCATTTCCCTGCTCTCAGTAAAGCCATTACAAACGTGACAGTAACCCGTCTGCCCCCTCTATCTCACACGACGCAACGTACTGTAGAATATCATACAGGAATGCATATCCAAACAACGCGACTCATTCATACCTTATACCCACACTCCCCCTAAAGTTCAATGAACAACAATTTCCTTCTAGCATCATTGTGCTGACTATATTCATTCATCTAGCAGTTTTTTATTTATTTCCCAGAAGCATACCACTTAATCTCATAATCTGCTTTTGGTGTGACTAGTGTTGCATTCCAGGGGACAAACAGACCACACAAGCACACGTGCACAGACATAGACCTAGTGTCAGCCAAATTAATAAGCAGCTTAACTGTCATTAGATTTCCCTTTTTAAAATAATTCATCCATTCTTTCTGCTTCCCTCCCCTTTTTCCTTTAATCCTGTATCTTTCTCCTCAGCTGCCTCAACGCTCTGTGACAGGTAGTCTTCCACGGTGGTTTGCTGACTCGGCGCTATGTCCACCCTCTGGCAGTCCGGTAATTGTTTTAAGAGTTGATATTGGACACTGACAGTTGGAGGCTTGCCCCAAGAGAGGGAGTTGGAGGGAGGGGATTCCACCAGGAAGATGGGGAACTGTCCAACCGTCAGTCAGAGAACAGTGGCAGGTCATCTTTTCATCCTTTTGTTTGCTCACAGCAGTGTTCTCGCCTGTGAAGACGAAATTCAATCTTCTTCTTCATTCAATGTTTTCCTCGACCCCCCCATCCACATTACCCCACCCTTCTTCAAAACTATTCTCTGCTTATTCTAACTTACCCCCCCCATCTCTGACTTCTTCTTTCTCCCCACTCTCCGTCAGCCACATCAGCGACACACAAGCAAACACAAAAGATCCTCCTCCATTTTGTTGGCCTCGGGCGTACTTGTTTGAGTGAACATTGTGTGAATCTCTTTCGGCTTTAAATCTGTAATTATCTCAGGGATTGTGCCAAATGCAGTCTCGCTCCCTCATCTTCCCCCATCTCCCCCATTTCCACTCTGTCAGGGAAAGGAATAAGGTTTATGTTGCCACCTTTTGACTGACAGATGTGGCTTTACCTTGACATCAGTGCTAGACCGTGATCAGAGGACACCGCTGAAATTAAGGTCAGCTTCAACGTGAAAAGATAATGAAAGGTTTCTGATGTGAAAGGCTTTGCTTTAAAGACTGGTTGTCAGGTTTCTGTGGGAAATGCGTTTCCTATTTCTTTTCCAAACAAGAAGTGTGTGGAAACCCTTAAATCATCTTTAGCACACTCAAAACTGGGAAAGCCTGATTGGTGTGGCAGCCAAATGGAGTATTTCTTGCCCAGTTGGAACAGGCCAATTTTTAACTATTCAAAGGTGTCACTTTCTATTTCTCACATGTTCTGCCTATCTCACTAAACACACTCACCTTAGAGCTGTCTCTCTTTCAGTGGTTTGTAAGCTGAGGCCCAGACAATCAAGCATGAGCCCCAGAGGACGCCATCCCAGGGTTTGGGAGGTTTGAAGGCTTTTGGCACGGGTGTTCATCCTGAGAATTTTCCAGGGCCATATCAGTGCCAGGATGCCATACGTCAGGGTGCACAGAGGAGCATTGTGACCCGGCGCCCACGTTTAGGGGCCTGCTGAGAGGGACCACAGAGGAAAACACTGAATGTCATTGTTATATAGCGCCAACAGTGTCCTTGGCTATGATGTCATGGCAGACAGTGGTCCAGCTGTGAGCAAGCACGCATGACTGTTGAAAGAGGCCATTAATCTCAGCATTGTGGGAACACTTACTTGAGTATTCTTGCATGCACGCTATATTTAATGTTAATTTCACTCTGCAGGCATATTTTTATTTACACAACCTCTTCCTCAGTTTTTCAAAGTGTGCAGGTGACCTAAACAGGGTTGTTAAGGTTACTCTGCAGTGAATCAGTGGCGAGTGCATACTTGTTTTTTATTGACAAAGCACAGATGTAGCAAGAAAATGAGCAAATAATGAGTAAAGCCAAAACATAACAACCTTAGACAAACCTCCCATTGTAAGTATTTCATTTCTTTCCTACTCTTAGAGAATAAAGTATCAATCTATATCCAGCAGATCTTAACCAGATTAGGGCAGGGGCTACCTTATGAAACAGAAGATCTTCTGTTAACTCAAGACATAAAAGTCTAGACAAATTAAGACTATTTGTTTGAGAACAATCCCATGTGACAAGGTAAGTTACTTCTATTGTTCAGTGAACATTTAGTTACTTAGTAAACAAAGATGAAACCTGACAGCAAAGAGTTTTAATTTCATACAGGGATATGCCCAGGGATGCCCAGGGATATGTGCAGCTTTGTATAAATAAGGCACATTTTCCTGAGATAGAAAACGATATTTTTACCTTCGCCTCTGCCATATGATATTTTGTTCAGTATTCTAGTGACTCGCCATGCACCGTACAGTAAAAGCAGTGTCATTGGCAATCCAGAAGTGCACCACATATTTGGTGTCAAGATTCACAATGTTTTGCATAGTCTGCCTGCTTACACTATAAGCAGCAGCACCTGTGCTCTGTACTATTTTTATGACAGTTAATGGAGGCCTGAAACATGAATTCACCTTCAAAAGAGACATCACCTGACTGTGGCAGTTTATTTGTGCTACCATGTGCTGATATTTGGAGTGCTGTACTGTATATTCACACCTGTGACTCCTATTCCTATTACATGCAGCTCTGTCCTCATGGTCCATTACCAAAATCTCTCTTTTGGGCATAAATCCAATTGTAAGTTCAAGGATGGCCACTTCCTAAGATAAAAGCTATACATAGATCACCTTTCCAACCTTGAAGATTGAGTTTACTTTCCCATCTCCAGCCAACAGACCTCTCCCATTGATGACTGGAGCACACAGTCCAAACCCAATGTCTGTTCTCACACACACTTTTTCCACAATTCATAGCGTTGCAGTTGATGACAGAAAAAATTATTACTCCCTAAAAACTACTAAAGAACAGACAGAAGACCGCCAGCAAGCACTGTAATTGTTTGTCCTATGATGACATGATAATGATTTCTAAAAATGTTCTCACATTCAATGTTGTCAATTGAACAGTCTAATTAATAAAATAAATGTTAAATATGAGCCTATATGCAGCAATTATACATTTTTATTTACGTTTATTCACGGTCTTGCAGAGGATGCTGTGCAGGTGTGTCTTGCTACCTGGCTCTTTCCACCTCCAAACTGTTCAAGCTAAGCTATATGTTCAAAACAAATTTTAAAAAGTAATTCCTCTATACCGCCGGAAATTCTCTCCCATGTGTAACCAATGAATGAAAGGACTACTGATGTATGATACATTTCAATTTGCTTGAGGAATACAAGCTTGAGCTTAATTGCTTCCGCACTCTGAACCGTGCGGTGAGAATTCAAAGTCATCATACAGCATTAGCTGTGCTGGATGTTTGATTCTGAACAATGTTATTACCGTCGTCCCCTGACACCCTATTTCTGCAGCTCTGAGCAAAATTGAACCGTGAACCCTGCAGTAAACTACTGGTTGCAGATCACTGCCCTACGACTAGTAATGTAAGACAGTTACCGTGGTTACAGAGTGTGTGTAAGAAGCTGATAAAAGCAGGGTTTGGATCAAACAGGGGTAGGCAGGGGTGGAGGACTGATATAAGCCAAGGCAATGATAGTGGATTCACTAGTTTATCTGCTTTGTGTGTTCAGTGTGTCCATCTGATATCATGCTTCAGTGTCTAAGGAAAGCCTTAATAAGAGGTTTACTTCATTGAGACTTGAATCTATCTTAGCAATGTGAAGTGTAGCCTACTTACATGTCTGCAAAATAATTTTCTCTGAGATTTTAATAAAACTATGTAATAAAAGAATGCATATTGTTCCTTATTGGTCTTTCTGTATCATTTACTTTAAAGAAATCCCTACTGATCCATTTATGGTCACAGTTAAAGTTGTTTCATTGCTAACAAACACAAATTCACAAAGAATCCTAATTAAATAGTTTGGTTCAGATAATCTACTGTTTTTCTCTAACTACTCATTCCATTTAGTCTATTTGCTTTGACTAATCCAGTCAAAGGTAGAACCTGAGCTCACAAAAACAGTGAAGCACTACTCTCTAGGGATTATTGATTAAATGACTTATTGATGGAAGGCTGCAGCCCTGAAGCTGGATATTGATTTTGTGTTTCTAAGGAATAGAGACAAGGGCCATAAAGAGATTTTGTAAGGTATAATAGCCTTACAGAGGTTAAGAGAAGATTGTGTATAATGTGATACCATCATCTGTGACGGGTTCTACTGCTCATAATGTCAGAATTTTGGTAATACATGCGCAAACACATGCCCCTTGGAGAGGTCGGAGAAGGACCAGCAAAATGTTCTCAATTCAGAAAAAAATCCCAAAGGTGCACATTTCAAGTAGGAAACCACATACACTTGTACACACTTTAATTTTTCAAATGTAAACTCAGATTCACCCGACCAACAGTGTGGGAAGTAGGAGGGAGTGTTTCTGTTTTCATTAAGTTGCAAAATGTGTTTTTCTTTTACTTTATGAGAGAGAGACAAAAAGGCGACAGAGAGAGGGAGAGAGAGATTAGGTTAGATATGCCTTTGGCAGTAGACAGTAATGAGTTGGTACTTTGTGTGATCCCTAAGATAATGCACTCTGGACATATTTATGAGTATCCATTCCAAAAAATGTGAAATAGAGGCTGCTGAATAGCAATTTAAAAATGGATGACCTTAGCTCCGAGACATACAGGTTAGGGTAGGTGGAGAAATGTAGAAATAGGCACTTTGGAACTCTGCTAAGGTGCTAAGAAATAAACCAGTATGTGCCTTTGTACTGTATGTATTCATATGACCAAAAACTGTGCTTTTTTACATTTTACACTGAGGTATATTTTTTAACCATGTCAATATAAGCATGCAGAATACCAGAGCCTAGAGCTGCTTCACCTAAATGTAATGCAGCCATCATTAATGTTATTAATTCCACCTGTGCTGTTTCTGCTTTGACAAGTCAAACTGTCTTCCATGAAAAGGATCAGTTTCTATCAGTAAGGGTAGACTAAATATTAGAAATATCTAGGTTGCATAGACTGCAACAGCACTACAATTAACAGCCTCCAGAAAATCATAAAGTTCAATCACCACCTCTCTAAGTATTGAATTATAATTAGTAGAGCTAACTTCAGCTGATGCATTCTATAAACTGGCAAATCAGTGCATTGATTGGTGATTTGTAATTATACTCTGTTACATGGTTTTCATTTGCATATTGAAGCACATTCACAAATTAAAAGTGCTTTGAGTACATATTTGTATTCTTGGAAGAATATTGTGAAGCATATTTAGAAAACGCTGCAGGATATCTCTGCCACTCATATGTGCTCTGCTTCCCTCACCTGTATCTCACTGCCTCTGATAAGTCTTGACAGCTGTCCTTCCCCTACATTTCCCTACCAACACACACAGAAAACAAACATTACTGAGCAAGTGCAGCACCAGGGGCTTATCTCACAAAGCAGGATTACTCATTTAGCTGGTTAACTATACCTGAGTAAAACCCAATACAAGTCTCTCTCTTCAGTCCATGTTCCAGATCAGGTTTGAAGGTTTTATTCAGCAAAGTTTATCTTCTTCATGAGACAGGCTCCAGGAATCCACAAACAACCTTGCAAAACAACATATTGAGGCTGTTTTATGTTGCACAGCTATGACAGGTTGAGAGACTTGTGGAAAAGTCAAGAGCATCTAGAGAATGATCCAGAGGGCAAATGAGGTGCAGGGAGTCAACAGACAAAATATCAACAGGGGGAGAGAGAGAGGGAGTGATGCTAACTGACTCCAAGAAGGGCTCCTCCGACCGACTGGTGCTGTTGCAAAGAAGGACAATTCATCTTGGGACCAACAACTGACCTCATGCCGATAAAACATTGTTAAAACCGCAGCATTAGGTAAGTGTTTTGTGTCTGCTCTGCTAGTCTGCCAAAGCTTCCCCCTTCACTCTTGGCTGCCATTTCTGAGAGCTTGATGTTCTTTGTGTTGCCAAATTCCATGCAAAGGCTTTTCTGAGCTGTAGAAACACAATTTAGGTAAACAAATTTAGCTCCTATTGTGTGTCAGATTGTTTCACTACAATCCCTGGGTAGAGAAAGATGGAATCACAGTTCCTATCAGTAGCCTCGTATTGTATTTATATTGAGCGCTTATTCTAATTAATTGCTAGTCAATGAGCCTTTTAATTGTTTTATGCAGTGTGCAAGATGATGCCATCTTTTACTGTTCCAAAGAGATCAATGCAGTGGTGAAACATTTTTGAAAAAAGGCAGGTGACCATTTAATATATATACCATATATATAGAGAGAAATAGAGATATAGATATATAAATACACATATATACGTGTGTATATCATATAACAACAATATTGACCATGCTGTGTGGTTCAGTACTATAAGATCATTCAGTTGGATGTGATCTTGTGTGATGTGTGTGACAAACTAATTCTTGCTCTCAATTCACTCCAATCAGTCATACATGTGTTATGATAAACTGCCCCCTGAAAACACAGTTTCAGATGTAATCGTTACATCAATATGCCTTAAGCACATCTCAAGCCAAGGGAAGTTTGATTCTGCCAGTGAAATATGTTTTTCATTGAGTCATCCTATCTGTTTACAGTCTTATAATAAATCTTTTGTGGCAATAATCCTTATATAAGAGTAATCCTCTTCAAAATAGCTCAAAAACTTTGGCAAAAAAAGCAGCAGCATCCATATCAAGTGGATGCTGGAGGCTGACTTTGAATGGGGTTTATGGTTATTTATGGTGTGCCATTCAAATCAGAGTAACAGTAAACAAAGATTTGCCAAATACTGCTTGTGTGAAGCCCGGCTCAATAGCCTCTTTAGATCTCTCTACAGAGAACAGCTTGTTTTTCCTCATCTCTCTGTCTCTGGCTCCAGACTTCTAATCCTGCTCCATTGTCTCTCAGCGCTGGTTTATGGAGGGTAAGGACGTGAACAGAAGGGGGGAAAAGACATCATAATTAGAAACTCCCCATTAACGCTGGTGTTAAAATTCATAGTTTGTTTACTCTTCCAGCTGAACCCTTTCCTGTATTCAGATAATAAATGCATCTTTGTCTGGCATTGTAGCTGTCACTCACTTTGCTGTAGTTTATTATATAACTATAACTATGCACAACTAATAACATGCACTTCTTTTAACACCTTTTAATGCTCACTAGGAATTGCATTTTGTGATATTAGTATATACTGCTTTCACTCACTTTTAGTATTCCAGGTCTTTGAGTACTGGTTATGCTCATATGTTTTATTACTTTAATAACATTCAGATTGTGATGATGACATATTGTGAATTTTTGGGGTTTTTGCTGAACGCTGTTGCCACGGTAACGCAGCAGCTGTTGATGTTTCATCTTTTCCATTTTTGAATGGAATTTTTTTCATGAAACTCGGCACAAACATCACAAATGTTAAAATATTCCATCTAATATGGATCTTGCACGTGGGTGTAGCAAAATGGCTCCAAAGCACCCTCTAGAATAGTTCAACGAAGCAGCCCCAGCATCCCGCTTCACAGGGTTGTATGAAAAGCGGTAGGAATATGTATCATATCTACACAAAAAGGCCTCTTGGACCTATACCCCAAACCCAACAGGAAGTCAGCCATTTTGGATTTGGCAGAGATTTGCACGTTGTATTTAGACGAACTCCTCTTAGATGACTGATCGGATTGACTTCAGATTGCAATCTCAATGACAATGAAAAGTTATCCAAATCTTGAGTCTTCGTCAAAGGGCGTGTCCATGGCGTAGCGCCGGATTTTGATCTTTCGCCAAGAAAGAGGAAGATGTCATAACTTCAGTGTACTTTATCCAATCTGCACCAAAATGTACGTCTGATAGGAGTCCCACCCTGAACATATCTATGTGATCATATTCAGCCATACTCATAGCGCCACCTACTGCAACAGAAAGCAAACAGCATCTGATCTGCAGCTTTAATTATTATTATTTTTAATTTTATTATTATTATATTTGGATTTGGACTGTTATCAAACGACAAGGTTTTTAAAGTCTGACTTATTTTTTCAGTGGCTCAGCCCCCGAGAACCACATGAGTCGCCCGTAGGCCTGTTCTAAAAATGAAAA